CCGAACGAGATAATCTCCGAAGCGCCAGAGGCGGGTTGAAGACTCTCTTCTGCCAAGCACACCGGAGAGCGGGGGGGTGAACTGCGCCTTTCTGCGCGGTCGCCCACGTGCGGCTGTCGTCCCACCAGCGGCTCGCTGGCGGCGGTGGGATGTTGCCGAGAGAAATCCCCGAGGGCGATGTTCCTCCGGGCCCTAAGCACCCGCACTGAGAATTCCTCGCAGTGCGGGCAGCCCGACCCGATGAGTGCTGCCTCCGCATGGGCGAGAACCAGGCACCAGATGCAGAACTCGTGAGTGTCCGGGGCCTCGATGGGTCCCGAACACAGCGTGCAAACGTTGGACATGCTGGAACGCCGAGAGGGAAATCTGTCTTTCTGCGTTTTCTCCACAGCTGTCTTCGATAGGATGTGTGAAAGAGGAAGATTCTGAGCTTATGCCGCCAATACGGCGCATTATATAGTGGCGGGGGCCCCGCCCCTATTCGCCGTCTTGGCTGGCATTGGCCAGTGAGAGTTGCAACTTCACTGGCATTTGGTCCGGACCAAAGCAAGTGAACTAGCGGACTTTCCTGGTGTGAATACACCTTAAGACTGATAGTTATCAGGTTATCAGATAGATCCAGTTATCAGGAAAAAAATCACCTGCACACACACACAGACCAACCATATCATCACACTAACGTCTCGATTTAACATCTTTCTTTTCTATTCTACATATCTGTACTTTGGCACCCTGATACTGATTACTTCACCATAGGAGTCATGTGGCCTGAGTGACAGCGTGCATGTGTGTAATTTGTGTGCATATGTATGGGTCTATAGGGCTCCGTTAGGGGAATATACGGTTGGGAGAGCAGCTTACGGCAGAAACCACAGGAACGTACAGTCTTTCAGGCTGGTACAGGCACCTGGAGCAAACCGGTGAACCCAGACAAGAACAGCAAACCAGAGGCGGTATGTACCTGCCCAGGTTAAGATTCAGTGCTCTGTCTGGTTTATTGCAGGTGTAGAGGGTCCGCCTCAGTTTTGTCCCATTCACGCTCTCTGTATTACATTGAGCTGTTTTCATAAGCGATGGATGCCACTTTATGAATGAGAGTTGCAACTTCACTGGCGTTGTGCAATAAGATTTCAGGTAGGTTAGGAAGGAAGGGAGTCCCCAAGGCGTTAACACCATGTCGAGAGACCGTTCTCGAGAGGGAACCACACGTGTGCTTAAGGTCATCCATTCATTGGTTCATCCATTCAACCGTACCGAGTTCGTTTGGAAGCGGATCGAGACCATCTCTTCAGCTGGGTCTTGGTATCCCATTCACGCTCTCTGTATTACATTGAGCTGTTTTCATAAGCGATGGATGCCACTTTATGAATGTGTGCATGAGTCCTGTGGTTTCCTTTCCGGATGGTAGATTAGTCTCTGGAATCTTCATCTTCATCTTATGTTCCTCCTGTAGCTATGTGTCCATGTCTGTTTTTCCTCTGTAATTGCCTTGCAAACATCTGCTTCTCCATGATGTTTTTTTTATTATGTTGCTTTGAAGCGATATATATTGTGAAAAGTGCTTTACAAATAAATTGAAATTCATTGTGTGCAGTGTCATGCATGCTGTACTGATATTCTAACATACATAAACAAAGATAAAAATGCTTGTGTATAAAAAAAAATACACATCTTTTCATGATGAGTAATAATAAAGTTAATCACTTTAAGCTTCAACAAGACTTTCTCAATAGTTAGCATTGTGAAAGCTGGCAAAGACAGATCAGCAGGGGACTTCATTAAAACGGCATTATGTGTGTGGTTTTCACATGAAATGTTTAACCACTCACTTTAGATTATGTATTCTTCCTTTGTGTATGTTTGTTTCTCATTGATGTATCTGATCTACTAATTGAAGGTTAAGAACAATGCTTGTTCATCTGCATCAAGTTCGACCCTGAGCCCCAGACCTGGAAAGAGAGAACAACCGTACCATGTAAGTCTGGAAGGTTTCTAAACCTTTCTTTAATCTCACCGCAAACACGACTGTTACTTTAGTCCAGTACCCATGCTAAGTAAACTTCAGATGTGTTTCATATGATTTGCATTGATTCATTTAGCAGGCATTATTATATATGCATACAGCATGCTGAACATTCTCTTGTGAAGGCTTTCTGTAATGTGAAGACTTTAAGTAATATTTGACCCAAAAATGAAAAATCGCTGAAAATGTACTCACTTGACCTGAGGGTGAGTAAATTTTCAGCATGTTTTCATTTTTAGGTGAATATTATGAATATTATACATTTGAGTAATATTATTTTGATTTACTTTGGGTTGCTCTGACCTTTGAAAAGTAATATTCATCCTGCTTGAACAGTCACTTCTCTGTTGATAGAATAAGACATCCGTGTTATGAATGTAATATGTAATATTGACTTCCTGTTTCTCTCTGTGCAGGATGGAAAAGGTTATGCCGTTGGAGAGCTTGTGTGGGGAAAAGTAAAGGGCTTCTCTTGGTGGCCTGGACTGGTGGTGGCATGGAAGGGCAGGATGCTTCCTGTGTCTATGAGGCGCGTGGAGTGGTTTGGAGATGGCATGTTTTCAGAGGTTAGGAGTGTTTACTTGCTTGCTTTCTCCTGATTCTCATCTGAGAGATACTTTTCCCCTTATTCTTCCAAGGATCTGTTTCATGTTGAAGCACGTTTCTCTCGTTGATCTTAGATTCATACAGAGGGACTGCTGCCCTTCGCTGCTTTTGCAAAGTGCTTTTTTAGTAAATCCTATGAAGGTCTGCCTACCTACAAGAATGCCATCTACCAAATCCTAGAGGTACAGTGGAAAGATAATTATTTAACCATTCTTTTGAAAACTAGGATTGGGGATCGAGAACCAGTTCTTATTTTTATTCATATTCTAGTATTGCACTATATTGTTGTGTCCTTGTGTAGTTGGCAGCGGAGCGCTGTGGGAAGACTTTCTCCCCCTCTGAGAAGAAAGGGGAAGAGGTGAAGGCTATGCTGGATTGGGCATTTGGAGGCTTCCAGCCCATGGGTCCTGATGGCTTTTTGCCTCTTGTGGGTATGTAAAAAACCAAACAATAATCTGTAATTGCGAAAACAGTTGGTGATTGACAGCAGTTTTGAAAGTTGAAAATAACAAAGACTACAAGAGTGACAACTGACTTCAATTGTGTGATTTGATCCGAAAAATACATGGAAATGTCAAACAACAGTGAAAGTGCTCTAATAAGCAAAATCTTGATCTAGGTTGATTTAACAACAGTGCCTTCTGCTTTTTCCATTTCACAGACAGCTCTACCAGTAATAAAACTGAGTCTGATTCATCGGTGTCTGATTATCAGCCTCCAGCCAAGAGGAAGTATGTCAACAAGAACAGACAGTCAACTCAGGATTACACCAGAGGTGAATTATAGATCAATCAGCGTATAGGCCAGAACTTTGCCATAAAGAGCACAAATCATGTTTTTATTTCATAAAATACTGAACTGGAGATTATTAGTGTGTTTTTAGGCATTTACATAATTTTGGTGAGAAAACATACCCGTTTTGTCTTCCTCTTCTCAGATCAAATGGTCAATGAGGTAACCGTTAAAGGCAGAAACATTGAAGGTAAGTCACTTAAAATTTCTCAAATTCATAATTTGATCTTATTAATGAAGCTGTTCTAGGGCTCAACAATAATTTAAATTCTTGTTTTTCCTGCTGGGCCAATCATAAAACCTGGGTATATGAGGAAATTGTAAAATTATGGCCTGAAATCCCTGTCTGGAAAAACACTTCAGATTAAATTTATACTTGCACTGACAATATTTTCTCAGCTGTCACTACAAGCAATCACACCTTTCATTTTATTTTTAACAACTTATTTTTGCCTTTAGGACATACTTATTGCTCAGTCGTATATTTTAATTCATTACAAGATAATCATACAGAATGTCTGTTCTCATTGTTCTTTCCCCAGATTTCTGCCTGTCCTGTGGAACTGGCAACATTGAAATGTTCCATCCTCTTTTTAAGGGAAGCCTTTGTTTTAAGTGCAAGGTATGAATCGATTCTTGTGTCTTATCTGTTTAGTGCGGAATCATAAAATTAGTAAGCTACTTACTATTTGCTGGCCGGAATGACATTTTTTTTGTGTGTTTGTGTAGGAGAACTTTACAGAGACGCTGTACAGGTATGATGACGATGGCTATCAGTCGTACTGCACCATCTGCTGTGCTGGACAAGAGGTCATTCTTTGTGGAAACGCCAGCTGCTGCAGGTTTAAACTCAAACTTACGCAAACTTAAACCTTAATGCCATGTTAACCATCATAACAGATTGTTTCACCGTCTTTCTCTTTTTTTCACTCTGTTCAGGTGTTTCTGTAAAGACTGTTTGAATGTGTTGGTTGGACCAGGGACATTCGATAAGCTGAAGGATGTTGACCCATGGAGCTGTTACATTTGCCTGCCCTCTAAGTGCTACGGCGTGCTCAAGCTCAGGTCTGACTGGAGAGTTCGTGTCCAGGAGTATTTCGCCAATAACAGTGCCTTTGAATTTGTGAGTGTCATTCTTATCCTCCTTGTGTTAGTTATCCAACTAGTCATATTCATATTTTGCTATTTGCATCACCATTTTAATATACACTACCATTCAAAAGTTTGGCGTTTGTAGGACTTTTAAAAAAAAAAATTAAGTCTCTTAAAGTCTCTTATGCTCACCAAGGCTGCATTTATTGATTCAAAAATACAGTAAAAACAATAATATTGTGAAATAATCCTATTGCATTTCAAAATAACTGTTTTCTATTTGAATATATTTTAAAATGTAATTCCTTTGATGACAAAGCTGTATTAGACTAGTTATCAGTGTCACATGATCTTTCAAAAATCTTTATAATATGCTGATTAAGGAAATATGGAAAGCCAGAATGATGTTTTAATATGAAGAACACTGTTTTTGTCCTTATTTTAGGAGCCACACAGAGTGTATCCTTCAATTCCAGCTCATCAGCGTCGTCCAATCAGAGTCCTCTCCCTGTTTGATGGGATTGCAACAGGTCTGCTTGCTTGTTTTGCTTTAATATTAAAGGAATATTTCCACCAAAAAAATTAATGTTTCATGATGTCAGGTTAGTCTTCAACAATTCATTTTTGTGTTCCACAGAAGAAAGTAAGTCATACAGATATGGAACAAGATGACAAGGAGTTTTTGGCTGAACTATTCATTTTAATATTTTATTCTTATCTCTTTTTTGCAGGCTATCTGGTTTTAAAAGACCTGGGTTTTAAGGTGGAGCGCTACATTGCCTCTGAGATCTGTGAAGACTCCATTGCTGTTGGGATGATTAAACATGAGGGCCTGATTGAATATGTAAAAGATGTGCGCACCATCACAAGGAAACATGTACGTATAGAGCATTATCGCAGAAAATATTTATTTATAGAATATCATCATTCACATTCTTCACAGACATTCTTCAACTAGCATAAGGATTTGAACAGTTAACCAGATTTAATAGCTAAACATTGCTATTTTTATATGGTCTTCCTCATATCCATAAGAACGAGGGGAAGTCACTGTGGAAAGAACACTTTTAAAGTTCTCTTTTGTCGTACCATTTTGTAGCTGGCTGAGTGGGGGCCCTTTGACCTCTTGATTGGTGGAAGTCCCTGTAATGACCTGTCCATGGTGAATCCAGCCAGAAAAGGTCTTTTTGGTAAGATATTTGTACATGCAAAAAATTGTGAAATTTAGGTTGATCTGAGCATGGTCTTTAGTATTAGAACTTATTTATATAACTCCATTCTTAAAAAGGTTCAATTTCAATTTCTCATCTCCTTTCAGAAGGCACAGGTCGACTGTTCTTTGAATATTACCGCATGTTAACCATGATGAGGCCAAGAGAGGATGATGATCGCCCCTTTTTCTGGCTCTTTGAGAATGTAGTAGCCATGAGTGCCCACGACAAGGCTGATATCTGTCGTTTCCTGGAGGTAAAAAATACTTTTTCCTTTTTCTCCACCAGGCTAGAGATGTGGTCAACATTAGCGAAATTTTTGCAAATATTAACGGGCAAAAATGTCCAGTGTAGTGATGTATGAAGCACATCTCATACAGAACAGAAGTCACGTTGAAACCAATCAACATTCTGGTTGAACTTGAACCTGATGCAAAATTTGCATGGAAAAATCTTTTGCCCTCACAAGATATTCCATATTGCTTGGATTCCTATTAAAATGGCTGGACTTTGTCTGTGAAAAATGGCCAAACAACACTAAATGTGAACGCACCTTTAGACATGCCATTTACCAGAGGTGTTTCGCATGTTATTGGTGTCATTGTTGAAGATGGTTATGAATTATCATGCATTTGTTTCCAGTGTAATCCTGTGATGATTGATGCTGTGAAAGTAAGCCCAGCCCACAGGGCCCGTTACTTCTGGGGAAATTTACCTGGAATGAACCGGTATAAATGCAGGCACACACACACAATCAATCACACATATCTGTAAACATAAAGCGCAACTTTATGGAAATGTATGCATGTTCAGTAATAGATGGGTGCAATCACAAATTAATGTGACTGAAAACTTGATTTTGTGTTTGTAGACCACTTGCTACGTCACTCACTGATAAAGCAGATCTGCAGGACTGCCTGGAGGTCGGACGAACTGCAATGGTAAACAGGTTTATTATGCCTTCTGACTGAAAAGTTGATATTTTGTGCATTAAATCAAAGAAATCCACAAATATACATTTTCATTTGTAGTTTTAGTTTACATTAGTCCTAGGAAGTATACATATTAGTGCCAGGAGTCTAGGCTCAACTAAGTTAGTTGTTAGAATGTCAAAACCAATTACGTCTTCTTTCTTTCTTTTTAATAAAAATAACAACTGTGTCATTACTGTATCATCAGTTCAACAAAGTTCGCACTATCACCACCAAGTCCAATTCCATCAAACAAGGGAAGATGGGACCTCTGCCAGTCACCATGAATGGAAAAGAGGACTATCTTTGGTGCACTGAAATGGAGAGGTCAGATATGTTGATATTAACTGAATTTTACTCAAAGTTTTGCCTTATCAGGTTTGCATACAGCAATTCAGTGTGGCATACATGTGGCTCTTAACAAAATGACTGATTTTTTTTTTTTTTTTTCTGCACTCAGAATATTTGGGTTCCCAAAGCATTACACAGATGTGAATAATATGGGGCGGGGACAGAGGCAAAAGTTGCTTGGGCGGTCCTGGAGCGTTCCCGTGATCCGACACCTCTTTGCCCCGCTAAAGGATTACTTTGCTTGCGAGTAAAACCACCGTCTGGTCCAGGCAGCACTGGCACTGGAGGTCCAAATCGAGTCTCTCAGATATATGAAATTGATGATTTTTTTCCCCCTGCAGATTCTGACTTCACAGAATATTTTCCAATTTTAATGTTGCATTTGTTCTAAACGTTCAGAAAGCATGTTATCCTGATGATTTATCCTTGGAATGCACAGACACTTTTGGATTGGATTTTGAACATCTTAAGTACTGTCGTTTTTAACTTGTATACTTTTAAGTCATTTTAATGCTGGAGAGAGCCACACGATACTCCATCCACTACCTCAGTGCCATTCTGTGATTGGTTCATTGTCTGGAGGAATGCCGCTTTAACTTATTCATTAAATTATAAATAGGCATAATGTTAGTTTGGTTTAGTTTCAGTTTTAACCTTTTGTCAGCTTTTTATATCACATTTTTACATTAAATATTTTCCTTGTTTAGGAATAAATATGTCCTGTTGTTAAATATTGCATAGTTTCATAATTTTTAAAATGATGATTGGTAATGTTGTCATTCCATGGTGCTGTTTTGTAATACAGAATGTTTGGTCATCATAATAACTGTACTAAGTCAACACTTTCACAATGTTTTCCTATTTAGCAGCATCTATTTAATTGAAAAGAGTGTTAATATACAGTACACCGGAGATGACTTGGGTTTCAATTAAACAGCGTTTTGTTTGTAGGAATACATGCAATCTTGTAGTGCTCCATGTATTTAGAAGCACAAATGTTGTCTGTGCCATTATATTTTAATAATTGACAGATGTGAGTTGACAGTAGCCTTCTTAAGCTTTTCCTTTAAAAAAAAAAAAAAAAAAAAAGGTA